AGCGTAGCCGCTCTCTTGCGCAAGAAAGCTCCAATGGCCATTTTAACCATCGGGCTTTCTTGTGCAAAAATTCATGTTGCCTGTCTACACTGGCCTCTTGCACAAGAATAGTTGTGCAAAAGGGCTAATTCCTGAGCTGGAGCGTCAGAGTTCTGGTGCAAGAAGCCCTGATTTCATACATTAGAACATCAGTTTACTTGCTCAAGAACACGCGGCCAGTGTAGACAGGCAGCAAGTTTTTGCGCAAGACACAGCTCTTGTTTCTGTCCCCAGAACAGTTTGTTTTGACATTACTTAGTCACATTATGTTCAGGAGCTGGAGAGATAGGAAAGACCTCTTGTTTGAAAAATAGAGAACTCAGAGTTGTAATGCTTGTTTAAAAAACTTTCCCCATATTAGGGGCTGGGGGGTTCTGAATGCCTGCATCCCCCCCTCCCCAGGACATCCCAAGCTTTATTGGAAGGTACAGGAGGAGTACAACGCTTCCTAATCTCAGTCCATTAAAGTTCTTTTCTTCCATCCCTTCACCACCAATATTTGGATGCTGCATCCCAGAAAACTAGTATTTTCCCATCAAGCATTAGTAGCTGTTTTCCACAATATTCACTTAATGACATTCTACCATGCTAAATGTTAATGAAAGGTGAAGAAGGTGCCATATTTAGTTTTATTAGGTCAGTTATTCTCATGTTAGATATCTGTTTATGCACAGGTACATTTTTTTAGAATTCTTTGCATTTTAATGAATGTTTTCCAGTGGACAATTTTCCCAATGAGAAAATATATCTTGAGACTCAGAGGGCCACCATAAGTAGGTGAAGTACATGCATAAGTAATAATTGTGACAGGGCAGTGTCTCAGAAACTTTTTACTTAAGTAATCCACCAACTATATTTTGTCTCCTTTTGTGACCTACCCAAGGGCTGAAAAGCATAAGTTGTCAGTATCTTCCACTGCTGTTGCTTTCTCCTTACCCTGTTGAGGCTGTAGCATTGACCACTCATAGCAACCATCTACCCTCACAATGCAACCATAATTCCTGTGTAGAGAAGAGGCCCTTCAGGTGCATTTGAGACTAAGCCTGTTTCACACTCACCTGTACAGCAGCAGTCACTGTCCTATGGGACTGGACCTAGCTCTCTGCTCCAGGCATTGTGACCTGCTGCATGATTGTGGCACTATTCAGGAGTGGCCCAGCTGTGGAGGGGTAGCATCACGTCACAATGCCCAGAATAGGGAACTGTTCTCAACCCTGTAGGACAGGAGCCGCCACTGTTAATCACCACAGGCTCCCTCTACAGCCCCTTCCCCCTCCACACCAGGCCTGCAACCAGGGAAGTAAGAGTTAGAAATGTAAAGGGTTAACCAGTTATCCAGTAAGCATTAATCTTACTGGCATGCTTACTGGGGTAACAAGTTAACTGGCAGCCCAGCCAGGTCAGAGCGGACCTTGCCCACAGCATGATGTGTTGGGCCCAGCCCGGTATGAGCAGCCCCCTGCATGTGCCACAGGGTCCCGATTAATCTTAACATTTAACTGGTTAGCCTTTTAAATGTGATTTTTACATCCCTAGTAAAAGTTTTAACTGGTTAATCGATAAGCTGATGCTTATTGGTTTCTGTTAACGGTTAAACTTTGCTAGGGCTCCAAGAGAGGGGTTGGCAGCCGGGACCTTGTGCACATTGGGATGCTGCCAGCGGCAAAGCCTGCAGCACAGGGCTGGCTGCCACGACCTCGCTGGCAGCAGAGCCCATGGCACAGGGACAGCAGCCTGGATCCTGGAAGTGAGGGCACCCTTAGGTCCCCAGGTAAACTGTTTAACCATGTAACTGATAGAATTTTGATCCATTACACAGTTACTATTTTTGCACATTTTTTACATCTCTACGTGCAACCCATCTAAACCCTCTATGACTCATAGGTGGGTTGAGACCTTTTGGGAAACCCTGACATTAGGTGATAATTACATGATCCATTATGAAAATAGAGAGACAACCGCACAGTAAGTACTAACTCATCTGTGTGGATCTGGGTAGGTAGAATGTAGAAGGCTTGAGAGGAGATCAGCAGTGTGGAATAATAGATCTGCTTTGTAAATGTTGGGCTCAGTTTTTTGCGCATGTGTGTGCATTTGAGGAGATGAGAGGGAATAGAACCCATATCACATCTTAATTAAAGCCATAGATGAGGAGAAAGGAGAGACTAACATTAGAAATGTAGAAAAGTTGGTCAGCAGGGCTTTCGAACTGGTGTGTGCATTTCTGTGTTATACCACAGGAATATTTGGTTTACATTTGTTAGGCATAGCAAGAATAGTGTGTAATTTTAGAATGTGTAGCAGTTGTGTGGAGCTGTATCCATTTTTAAGGTTAATATAGCTGGGTCAAAAATGCAAACACAAAAGCTACCAAGCGTGGTCCCATTGATTCTCTAGCAGGTACTTCCATTTTAACTTCGGCACAATATTGAAAACCTGTGAAAGGCTTTTATTTAGTGCCTTGACTTGACAGTACTTGTGTTCCAATTGCTGTTTCTAATATTGATAATAGAACTGAAGTGTTCTGTCACTGCTTTGAGGGAAGTTTTCCAGTCTCCATAGTAATTCTTAAGTGTTGCTGCTTAAGGATGTTAAGGACTAGTCAACTATCTGATAAGCAAATGCTAATTGGATAGTCCAGTCATCTCTCCCCCTCCCCCTGCTACCTCTATCAGATAGAGGCAGCAAGGTGGGGGGGGAGAGAGACAGTACTTCAAAGTGGCAGTGCCGCACGGAGCTCATGTCTGGGCTCTGTGTGGCACTGCCCCTTTGAAACACTGTAGCGGTGTTTCAAAGCGGCAGCGCCACACAGCTGACCCCAGGTTCTGTGCAGCGCTGCCCCTTTGAAATGCCACGGCGGTGTTTCAAAGTGGCAGCGCTGCGTGGAGCCTGGGGTCAGCTGGGGACTCCCTACCTAACCCTGGGCTCCCTGTGAGCTTCGTGTGGCACTGCCGCTTTGAAATGCTGCATGGAGCCCGGGATCAGTCCCAAGCTGATCCCAGGCTCCGTGCAGCATTTCCATGCGGAGCATTTCCGTGCAGCATTTCAAAGCATGCGGAACCCGGGGTCAGCTGGGGACTCCTCAGCTGACCCCGGGTTCTCTGGAAATGCTGCGCAGAGCCCAGGGTCAGTGGGGGACTCTGAGTCCCCCGCTGAGCCCAGGCTCCATGAGGGTGCGTCTGCTTTGAAATGCACAAGAGCCCCCGCTGGGGACTCTTGTACATTTCAGTGCGGGTCTGCATATAGAGTTCCCTGTTCCTCCTTTGACAGGGGCTCTTGTACATCTCAAAGGAGGATTGTGGAAGTGCCTGTCGACTAGTTGATGGAAATTCCATCGACTACTTGACTAGTAAATTACTCGTTAGTTAACATCCTTATTGCTCTTGCATAATACTAGAAGATTTACCCGGCATTGCTTAGGTCCTGAACTCAAATTAATTTTTGACTTTTGGAAAATAAAATGAAAATGTACATACTTCATTTAAATCATTGCTCTGGGGTGGGGTTGGGGCTGGGGATGAGGACTACTCCAGCCCTCTCTCAGGGCAGCAGCTTGGGTCAGTTTGCTGCCCTGTTGTGGCAGATCCAGGTTCATGTGCTCCCCAGCCAGGGTGAGGAATGCAACAAACTGCACTTTTCCCTTGCTCCCTGACAAAGGGGGTCAGCCAGCAACATTCCCATACAAATCGGGGGAGGAAAGAGCTTCAGACCTTTCCTCCTCACCCTCCCTAAAGGGTGCTTTGGGAGTGGGAGGCTTGGGATTGGGGTAATTCCAGATGGAGGGACATGCCTCCAGCCAGCCCCTTTCACCTGTCTCTTTCGGTCTCTTTTCTGTATGGTTTTATAAAAATCAATCCCATTCCCGGCACATCCCATTTTCTTGGCATAACCTAGCCCTTACCTTGCTTTATGTTATAAGAGGAAGTTGCATACCAAATTTGGTAGTCTTAGCTGTTCCTGTTTAGGAGGAGTTCTTGAACAGACAGACAAGCTCTCTGAAATATATAGCAGACTAGATGATTTTGTTTTTCTTCATTTAAATCATTATTCTGGAGTGTCGCTGTGGGTGAGCGATTCAGTATGCAGGCTGCCTTGGGGAGAGAGGTCTATCCCAGCCCTTTCTAACCTCAGAAACTTGTGACCAGGTGAGAAGTGCCTGTCCATGGCTTTTACAGCTCCAGTAGGCATGTCCCCTGTCTGGAGGACAGACAGACACACATGTACTTGTTTTTAGCTTAAATCCTGTTCCTAATCAATTTAAGTTAAAATAGGTCACGCTTAAACTAGAGTGTCCGCACAGTCATTTGCACCAGTGTAATTCTGTCAGTTTAAATTCACATCTTTAAATTAAATTGGTGCAGCCTTCTCAAGTAGGCAACCCTGCAGACAGGGCAATTCAGATATTCAAAAGCTTCAGAAGGGTAGCCAAATTAGTCTGTAACAGGAAAAACTTAAAAAACAACAAATAGTCTAGTAGCACCTTAAAGACTAACAAAACATGTAGATGGTATCATGAGCATTCGTGGGTACAACCCACTTCTTCAGTGTTCTGTCATGTGAAGAAGTGGGTTGTGCCCACAAAAGCTCATGATACCATCTACATGTTTTGTTAGTCTTTAAGGTGTTACCAGATATTCAAGCTGATATTCAAGTGGTGCAGACAGCTTCAGAAGTAGGGATGTGAAGGACTAACTAGTTGACTATCCAATAAGCAAATGCTTATTGGATAGTCAACATCCTAGTCAACTAGTCGCTTCCCCTTCCACACACCCCTTGCTGCCTCTATAATAAAGAGGCAGCAAGGGCAGGGGGGAAGAGGACAGGGTCCTTCAAAGTGGCAGTGCAGCGTGGAGCCTGGGTCCAGACCCTGAGCTTCACTGGGCACTGCTGCTTTGAAAAGCCGTGGGGAGCATGGGGCCAGTGCTTTCACCTTTGAAGTGTAACCACAGCCCGAGGTGCCCTTATCAACTAATCCAGTAGTGCAAATTGCATGGACTATTCAGTTTGTCCATTAATCTAAATTTAACATCTCTATCAGGAGATCATTATTTTCTTGAAGATAAGAAAACTGTTTAAGGAACCTGGAATGCTAGAAGAGGCATTTGGCGTGTGGGAAGGAGGAGGAGGATGGAAACAAAGATAAGTGTGGAAGACCTTATTGAAACATGAGCAGTGGTTAGGTTATCTAGGGTGATGTGGAGGGAAGGCAACAAGATGGGAACTAGGGAGAAATGAGGTCAGAGGCATAGAGAGTGATATTGTGCAAGGCCCTGAGACAAAGATAAGTGCTTGATCTTGAAGTTGGTTCTTCCTACTGATCTAAATTGTGCAGTTGAGTAAGCAGGAATTTGAATGATTGATGCTCATATCTTGTGCAAAATACCATACATGTGCAACATGAAAGCACTAATTATGTCAAAATCACATTGTCAGAATATTAACGCTTCTCCCAGTGTTCGCAAGATTTGTTTTAATCAACTTTGTTTTTGTACTTGCTCTTCTCCTCCCCCCAGTGAAAATTGTAATCCGAGGAGACAGGAACACAGGGAAAACCACACTCTGGCACCGACTCCAAGGGAAGAAGTTTGTTGAGGAATACATTCCTACTCAGGAGATCCAAGTCACCAGCATCCACTGGAACTATAAAAGTAAGAATGGAGAGAGAGTCAGGGTATCTGGGGGAAGGAACTGTCTGTGCCTTGGAGGTGGGAATTCTCCTCTGTTTCATGCAGCTATATCCAGGTTAGATTTAAAACTGGTGCTTATCAGAGTTATTTGATTATTCAAATAATCCTGTTTTGTAAACCTTTCATTCACTTTACTGACCATTTGAAGATGTACTCGGTAGTTAAGATCACAGACAGAAAACTTTTAACAACATGAATTGAAATGTTCATTGTATTTTCTTGAAAACTAGGGGTGTAAATGGTTAATTGATTAACTGGTAAGACTTGCCCTTAATGGATGAAGCTTAACTGTTCCAGTTAACTGGTAGGGGCTGAAGCAGCTCCCTGTCTTCCCATGGCAGGGGGCTGCTCCAGCCCCATGGGGCCTGCCAGAGCAGCCCCTATCTGTGGTGGTTTCGGCCCAGCCCCCATGCCACAGATTACATGCTGGCTTCCCAGGAGCAAGGCGGAGAGCAGCAGCTACCAGCCCCACTCTGAGAATTGGCTGTAGAGACCATAGAAGCCTCCCTGAGTGTGGAACCAACAGCCCATGCTAGCCCTGCTGCCAGGGAGACTTTGCTGTGGGCTCTGCAGTATAAAGCTTATGCTGCACCTCAGGCCCTCGTCCCAGCTGCATCCCAAAGCCCACCCCCCACCCTGAATCTGAACCCCCTTCTGCACACCAACCCCCACTCACAGTCCTTCCCTTGAGCCCCATTTCTACATTCCAAATCCCTCATCCCCAGCCTCACCCCAGAGCATGCACCCGCTGCCGGAGCCCTTGCATCTCAACCCTCTGTCCCAGTCCTGAGCCCCCTTCTTCACTTGGAACCCCCTGTCTCCGTTCCCACCACATGAATTTTATATCCACCAATACGAGGGTGATGGAAAAAATTCTGCTCAGGTGTGGAAAAAATTAGAGGGAACACCAATCAGAGGCCTTACTGACTCCCCCATCCCTTCCTTTTTTGAGAATGAACAATGTCTTTAGTGTGGAAAATGGCTGCAAAATGATATGCCAAGTAGTTTATTGAACCTAGATATTTGAATAGGTTTGAATGCTTAGCCTGTGTTGCAAGCCTATCAGTCCCAAATCTTTCGTTTGGGTTAAACCTGTGATCTAACACTATTGTTCAGATACTTGTCTTCAGAAGCAGTTTATATGGGATGCTCCCTAAAATGTCTTCTGTGTCCTAAAGGTTAACCCAGGGCCCTAAAAGCTAATCATCTGCTTGAATGTTCATGATATAGTTAGGAATGCTGATTAAAAACTAAAACTACATGTTGAGTATAACTGTTCTTTTTTACCATGGGAAAATAACATTTAATCTTGTAAGTAATTATGAATATAATTTTCCCATGGATCATTTGTATCCCAAATACTTACCCATTTCCCTCTTGCTTCTAGATGCCATGCTATTATCTCCTTACTGCTTCTAAAACTCCATCAAAAAGGACTGAATGTTTCTCTTCTTTCTGGACTAGTTAGCTTTGTCTTCTAAGTTAACTGTAAGGGTTACTGTTGATTTTGAGCAGAGTTTTGAGCAATTAATGTATCTGTTAGGTGACATAACCTTGTTAGCAGCAGGTATATACACAATAAGAGGAGGGTTCTTTGGTGCCAATGGCAGGATCTGAGAAGTCCAACCTCACTGATCTTGCAACTAAAGAGAAGCAGGAAGGATGCTGCTGTAGTTTGTACCTGGATCCTGCTCTGGTTACAGGGCTTAATCTTGCATTTAGTTTCTGGCTAGTGAAGCTCTATTCTCTCTAGCTGCTGGAAGAGAAGAGGAGCTGCTTCTCTCTTCCCCCACGCCCTGTTCCCTGCATACTCTTCTCCTCTCTGGCAAAGTATCTTGGCTACTGCAAGCCTTCTGGCTGCTGTAAATGTGTCTGGAAACAGATTTGTGCTTTGTTCCTCCTAGCTCAGTGCAAATCCAGTGTGTTGTCTTTTTCTGAATCACTACAAAGTCTCCAGAGCCTTCTGCAGGGGTGTGAAATTGACACAATTGTATCCAGACCTCAGGGTTAGGGACTAAAACTAATCAGTATTAAGTTCATTCTCCTGCTGCTTAGAGCTAGTGCTTCTGTATCTGTCTGCAGACACTGAAAGATGCATTGTATCAGTCTCCATTTGCTTTGTATCTGCAAGGTTATTTTGGTAAATATAAGGACATGGGGATAGATTTTTCAATAGCATAGGCTATGGAGCCGGGGATTGCTGGGGAACCACCTGGGATGTGACCCTACCGCTTTTTGTCTGGGCTAAACACAAGTGACACTGACTATACATGCCAGGTTGCAACACCACTTGCTCATTCTTTCTGGCTCCATTATGATAAAGGAGCAGACAGGTTACATTTTGAGTCTAGGACCCTTGCACTCTAACCCTCTGTCTCAGCCTTGAACCCTGCTCTAGAGCCTGCACTCCCTGCTAGTGTCCTCACAGACCTGCATCCCCACTCTCTGCCCCAGCCCTGAGCCTCTTTCCACGCTCAGAACCCTTTGGCCCAACTCTTGCCATGTGAATTTTGTTATGTGCACCAATATGAAGGTGATGTGTTGCACATCAGCTCCACATTGGTGCACATAAGAACATTCATGCCACTCAGGGATGGGAAAACAAGAGGCAACACAGTGGCCAGGTTGCTGGGGGGAGGAGCTGCACCTGGGTGGGAGAAGAGAATGATCAGGTTGTGGTGGAAGTAAAGTGTTCCATAGTCCCTGTCTGAAGGTCCCTAAAGACCTAATGGGTAACTCCTATTGATTTTATTTAGGTTCTGTCTACATTGGCACTTTCATTATTAAATGTTTGTTGATGACGGGTCTGAAAAAACAGCCCTTGAATGACAAAAGTTTTGGCAACAAAAAGTGCCTGTGTGGACAGCGCTTTGTCTGCAGGAGCCGTGCACGCACCCACCGACAAAGCTATTGCCCATAATTGGAGGTGGCTTTATTTTGTCTCTGGAAGAGCTTTCTCCATGGCCACACAATACACCTTACAATGGTGTGGCTGCATCAGCACACTCGTGCCATTGTACGGTGTGCTGTGTATAACAGTGTTTCTCAACCTTTTTTAATAAAGTACCCCCTTAAAAAAAATACCCCCAGTACCAACTGTTGTCAGACACACACCATTTTTTTTCTACCACTGCAACACATTTGTTTAAACAACTTAATCGTAGCCAGGCGGGCGATGAAATTTTTGGGTGTAAAAAGTACAAAAATAATAAAGCACTGTAAAACTTAAAGCAAAAATTCAGTTTTCTCCAAGTTTCAGTTGTGTTGATGTATCTCCCAGACTTCTCTCAGGTACCCCTGTGGGTACTCGAAACACTGGTGTAGAATAACCACAGTCTGTTTAGGCACTTCTGAAAATCTCATTAGGTTTCTGTCTGCATATTTAGGTGCCTAAATGCCTTTACAAATGTGGCTCTACTTCCTTGTTAAAAAGTGCAGTATTTATACTTAAATTGTCTTTTGTATAAATGGCCCAAAAGTGTTCTGTATCCACTGTCTGATTGCAAACTGAACAAACTGATGTGCAAATGCAAAAGGTAACTTTTATTTATAATGGTCAGTTTTGTGAATTCACCCTGGCTTTCTGTCAAGATGGGTTCTTTTCATCATGTCTCTCAAATTAAGAGGTTCTATAAGTTATGCCTTCACTAACACATGATAAACATCCCTTTCTTTGCTTTATTCACAGGCTATGTCTACACTGCATGATTCTTTTTGGGGGAGTGTAGGATGTGTACTTGGGTAAGCCCACGGCACAGGTTTTAAATAGCAATGTAGAGACATGGCTTAGGTGAATAGAGTACAGACAAGTGTGAAGCATGTTGGTATATACCTGAATATGTACCCTAAACAGCTCTCTACTCGCCCAAGCTTGCCTTCTTGTCTACACTGCTGCTTTTATCTGTTTCATGTGCACAGAGAGGCTCTGCCAGCTTCCCGCTGCTGGAGCCTTTCCCTGTTGCAGATGAGAACTCCAGCAATAGGGGAAGGCTCTGGCAGGGGCAAACAGTGAGGAAAGCTAAACGTGGGCAAGGTAAGCCTTTGCCCAGTGAGTAGTACTCTGCAAGTAGCCACGTTGATTTTAGTGGTACTACTCGTGGAGTAAGATACTACTCAGTATGATTAAGGGTCGCAAAATCTGGCTTCATGAATGCATGACTTTAGACATGTCTTGTGATAGAAACAAAAGACTGTGTTGTCTGAAACAAAAACTCAGAATGTAATGGTTTTCAGTCCAGTGAGGCCTAGGGCACTTTGACTTTGGACAAGTCACTTGATCACCTTGTGCCTGTCAGTCAGTCAAGCTGGAAAATTGAATGCAGAGCAGGAATTGCTTTGCAAAGCTAGGCTTTGCATCTGATCTCTGGCTAACCCTAAGTTCAAATAAATGTATTAGGAAAGCAATAATTAAAAAAAATATTTGTACCGGTTATTCTTTTTACAGGATTTTTACATTTATTAGCTAAACCAGGGGTGGGGAACATAAAGCCCAAGACCTGGATGTTGCCCCCAGCCCCTGAGGTTCAGGGTCGTCCATCCCCCTCAGTATTGGAGAGCCCACAGTGGCATTCTAGCCCCCCCTTCCTACTGCGGGGCTTGAGCAGACATAATCTGCTCATCTGGGCCTCCCTAGGTGCTGGTGAGTAAGGGAAGTGTCAGTGAAGGCTTTTTTTGTTTGTTTGTTTTTGCTTCTCTCTTGTGTGTGGCCCCTGACTAATTTTTCTGTAGGTCAGTAGTCCTTGAACCAAAAAAGGTTCCACCCCTGTGCTAAACCAGAAGTGCATGGTTTCCTAGATTGAAAGTCATACTTAGGGTTAGGGTTGTTAAATTTAGATGAATCGGCTAATAGAGTAGTTGATGCAATTTGCATTGGCTATTTGATTAGTTGATAAGGGCACCTTCGCCTTTGAAGTATAGCAACAGTCTGAGGGTTCAAGCAGTCACCTGCTGGCTCAGGGCTC